GGACCTCTACAAGTTCTATGAATCGATTCGGCTTCCTAAGCTCGTGGCACGGTGCGAGGCCCAAGGTTTCCCCAGGCAAATTTACAAGGCCCCGATGCAGGCCTACGGAGGAGCTCTGTTCATTTCTCTTGGGGGCCTTTTGCGCGGCCCGCATTTCAGTGAGCATGGGATTGTTGCAGGCTGTAGTTTCGCCACGACTTACATTAGGGCATGCGTTATCCCCACGATGGACCTCCTGAGGCTCCCCTACCAGGTTCAGCTCGACATCTACATAGACGACTACGGTATATCTAGCAGTGGGTCTGGGAAGTCTGTAGCGTCGTCGCTGAAGATGGCCTCTACCGAGCTGCTTGTTGCCCTCGAAGAGGACATGGGGCCACGGATCTCTGACGAGAAGGCAGCAGTGGCATCCCCTGTCAAGTGGGTTGGTCAGGCAGTCAAGTCTTTCTTGGGGAGGTGCGGAGGACCTTCCGCTGATTGCCACACTGCTGTCAACCTCGGCATCGACGACGGCGCTGGTCAGGCGCGTCGTGCCAGAGGTCGCGGTCGCAAAGCTGCTGCTCGTTTTCGTGTTTTTCGTCAGAGAGTCAAGAGGGCCTTTAAATGTCGGCAGGCGCTTGGACGTCACTCTCGTAGAATATTCGTGTCTGGGCCTGTGGCCTCGGTGACGTATGGGGCGGCTGTCTTTGGGACGTCTGATCATGAAGTGGGGCTCTTGAGGACTGGTTTCGGAAAGGCTGACAAACCATCGGCTAGTTCGAGGTCCCTTACGGCCCTGTGTATTCTCGAGAACGACCCGTTATACCACGCTTCTATCGCACCTATCGCTCGGTACTCCAGGGAGGTTTGGGGCGCCCAGGTGCAGCCGACTCCGTTCGCTTTAGGATTTCGTGAGCTTCGTGCAGCCTGGGAAGGTCTCTGGGCTGGTCCATGACATCCTTTGCGCAGCTGAAGAACGACCTTGGTGTCGAGTATTCCCTGACCACCAATTCCCCTCAGCTTATCAAACAGTTGCTGCGCGAAGGAGTGGTCAGGATGCTTTGCCGTGTTTCAGGTCAGAAGCTCGGTCTTCAAGGCCGTGCATGCTACGACGCTGTGGTCAGAGACTTGCGCAGCCGCAATACTCCTATTTCGAAGAGGGATGCGTCCGTGCCAATGCCTGCGGGGCCTGTTGGACCCAGGAGAAAGCAGTGCCCCTCGGATATCGAATCCCCGAGGTCCGTTGTTCTCTGTGCGGCGGCCCATCGGACTCTACGTGGCACAGGTTATGGGCGTGTCCTGCGGCCGACGATCTCAGGAAGGAGCTGTGTGATCCCGAAGTGTTGCAGGCGAGTTCCGGGGTGGACCTAGCCACCGTCTCGAACGACCAGTTCGTGCTGTTCACGGAAGGTATCTTCATCCACCCCTGCGAGCACCTCCCGATGCCCTCCAAAGAATGCCCCCCCCTATGGTCCATTGGGAAGCTCCTCAGCACGATGATTCTGATGAGCAATTATTCTCTGGGGATGCGTTCTTCGACGGATCATGTAGGAAGCACGCCATTAAGGAACTAAGCAGGGCAGGATGGGGTTTAGCTGTATATGATAATCATAGGAATTTGCAGCGTGTCATGTGGCCCCCTCCTTTGGGACAGGTTCCCCCGGACCCCCCAAGCTGCGGAATTCGGGAGCCTGGCCCACGGGTCTCTGTGTCTCCTTGGGCCCTCAGAAGGTTTCAGCGATTGCCTTTATGTTTCTAAAGCTTTTCTTTTGGAGCGGCCCAGGCGTCTCTCCTACAGGCGGCCTTATGCAGGGCTGATGATTAATGCCCTTAGTCTAAATTGACCAGCCTTCACAAGGTGAAGGCCCACGTTGCGGATTCCCCTGATTTAACGGCCGATCAGCGGTATTTCAAACTTGGCAATGATGGGCCCGACAGAGCGGCCAAGCGAGGAGTGGACATGCACGCCATAGGATCTCAGGCTGAGCTGGGTTTTGTCGACTGGCAACTCAAAGTTGCCAAGAACGTCGGCCTGCTGGCAGCCCGTCTTCTCCCGTCTTGGCCAAGACTCAACCTTGACGGAGTTGATTTTATCGCCCCAGCCCGCGAGGTGGGGCCGCCGCCCCCCCCCCCCCCCCTGCGGAGCAGTATCACCATGAGTGGGTGTGGTGTGCCACCCTCTAGCGCTGCAGCGTCTGTCTCCGATGCCGCCGCCAGTCTGTGAAACCCGATCTTTCAGGGTGCTCGGGCCAGCTCCCTGACGTGGCCCTTTCCACGCGGCATACGGGCCACGCCATCACGGCCCTTCGGTGTTCGAATCAAAGCATGTTATATTTTTGTCATCTCTGCTGCGGGCACAGCTGCGGTGGAAGATTCGAGAAGCTTAGCAAGCCTTGTATCCCAGAGCCCGAGGGGCCCAGGAAGACAAAGTACGCGTCCTCGGTCTTGAGGGCGCTGCGGAGGGGAGGCATCCCAGGCTGGCTGGCGTGACGTGTGAAGTGTTCGACCCTGCTGCTGAAGCGAGCGAGTCAGAGGCTGGTGATCGGGCCGAGCCCGTCGGGTCAGCTCAGGCCCGCAGACCGCTTCGGGAGGAGGGTGAGCACGCCCCAGACCAGCAACCCCTGGCAGACAGCTCGGACTGACCTGCACAGGCGGGTAAACTAGTCCGAGTTTGCTTCTTAACTCAACCCGAGCTGGCTCGGGTTCAGGGCGCCTGCCAACAAAAACCCAGCACAGTGATGCCACACGCAGACTCAAATTAGACCTCGCCATCCCTGGGGGGTTGCGATCCGTGAAACTGTCGCCACTTTCGAAGCCTGCTGGCGTGGCCCAGCACAGTGACGCCTCCCAAGTAGTGTACACATCAAGTCGAGTGTCCATACAAGTTTCGGCCAACTCCTCGTTTCCATTGATACAAATGGGTTGGGTACATCACGTGGCAATTTGACAGGGATGGTGGGGGGAGGCCGCATCGGGTTCGCTGCGCATGCTCCGAATTTGGAGGCAGAGTGTGTGTTTCAAAGGTTTGTTACAAGGGATGGTGGGGGCAGAGAGACTCTTGTATTGTTTTTTTACACGGGATGGTGGGGTGGGTGCCCGCATGGACCTGGGATGGCTCCCAGTCGCCTGGTGGAAGGGGTGTATATTAATAAATACAATGATCAAGACTCCCTCCCCGCCCGCAAGCCGTTTCGCTCACTCCCACCCGCCCTCCCAACACATACGTAGCACCCGAGTCTGGCCCGAGCATCAGCATATTCAGCAGCCGTCTTTGGATGGGCAAGTACTGGGGGCAAATCCGCCGCCGCCACCGCCGCCGCTTCCGCCGCCGCCGCCGCCGCCGCAGCCGCCACAGCCGCCGCTGACGCCGACGACGACGCTGCCCGCCGCCGTCGCCGCAGCGCCGCCGCCGCCTCTGGCAAATCGCCGCCGCCGCAGCCGCTGCCGCCGCAGCCGCTGCCGCCACCGCCGCCGCCGCCGCCACCGCCGCCGCCGCCGCAGCCGCCGCCGCCGCCACCGCCGCCGCCCCCGCCGCCGCCGCCACCGCCGCCGCAGCCGCCGCCGCCGCCAAGCGTACTCTGTATTGTTGTTTGACAGGGAAGGTGGGGGGAGGCCGCATCGGGTTGGCTCCGCATGCTCCGGATTTGGAGGCAGAGTGTGTTCTGTTGTTTTACCAGGGATGGTGGGGGGGAACCTCATGGTTCCTGGTTGGCTACCAGTCGCCTGGGGGAGGGGGTGTTCATTAATAGGGAACAATGATAAACCCCTCCCCGAAGGGGAAGAGGGGTTTTTGGAAGAGGAAGGAAATAATCTCGCTAGACCACCTAAGCCCAGAGGGCTGGTGGGATTAGTATCCCCCTGGACCCCGAACGCTATTAGCCCCAGATGGCCTGCAAGATCGCCCAAGCCGTCCCACGACGGTCGCAGGTGGATTTCACGATAGCCCCATGAGGTCCTCAGACGCCTCCAGGCTCGCCAAATATGCGTCCCAAGTATCCCTTGGATAACCCCCAGACGGCCCCAGACCGCTCCAAGACTCCCCGAGAGGCCTCAAAAGGGACCCCCAGTGGGAGGTCCAACATATGGATTTCCAGTGCGGTTTTGAACGGATCTCACGTTCTCCTAATTTCTGGCCTCCGGCTCTACCCTCTCTACGCTCAACATGCAGGCTGTTCCAGAGTATAAAATATGATCCTCCTCCTCCTCCTCCTCCTCCTTCTCCTCCACGTCCTCCTCCACGTCCTCCTCCAGGTCTCCAACCGCGACACCGCCCGCTCCACCAGACTGTACGCTCTCGACTCCTATGTGACGTTCGCAGCCTCGGAGGGTGCGCGTCGCGGGCGCGAGGGGAGTCAAGAAGGTGTGTGTGGCTGTGCTGGTATAGACTGAGCCCCTCCAGGTCGCCAGCGTGCTAGGCACGGCTGACTTGCCCTCATGAGCAGAAACCTCAAAGAGCTCTTCCTCCTCCTCCTCCTCCTCCTCCTATTCCTCCTCCTCCTTCTCGTTTTCCTCCTCCTCCTGGCCTTCGTCCTTGTCATCGTCCTCGTCCTCGACTTCCTCCTCCTCCTCCTCCTGCATTCATCCAATTCCTCCTCCTCCTCCTCCTCCTCCTACTCTTCCACCTCCCCCTCCTCCTCCTCCTCCTCCTACTCTTCCACCTCCTCCTTCTCCTCCTTCTCTTGCCCTCGTCCAGCTCCTCCGTGTCCTCCTCCTCCTCCTCCTCCTCCTCCTCCCCCTCCTCCTGCCCTCGTCCAACTCCTCAAACTCCTCCTCCTCCTCCGCCTCCTCCTCCTCCTTCTCCTCCTCCTTCTCCTCCTCCTCCTCCTCCCTCCGTTCCTCCCTCCCTTTCTCCCTCCATCGTTCCTCCTCTCTCCCTCCCCTCCGCCCATGAGCAGGAGGAGAAAGAACGAAGAAAGAAGGCGAAGGAAGAGTCGGAAGGGAGAAGGAACCACCAAAGGCACGAGGAGCCTCATTATACCCCCTCCCGCTGCTCTGCATGGCGTCAGCAGCCGGAGAGAAGCCTGAGGTAGGAGTCGAGGCATCGGCGAAACTGGCCGTCATGGAGCACCTGCGCGTCTCGCTCGCGGGGCGAAAGGAGGAGGGGGAGGGGGAGGGGGAGGAGGAGGAGGAGGAGAAGGAGGAGGAGGAAGAGGAGGAGGAGGAGGAGAAGAAAGTGGAGACGGAGGAGGGTGAGGTGGAGGACGACGAGGAGGAGGAGGAAGACGAGGAGGAGGAGGACCAGTGGAAACGCAAGAACCATCAGCGATGTTGGAATTAACCCTCCCCCCAAGCTCCCTCTTCATAGACCCCTACAACGGTTCATGTCCATTGAGGGAACTGCCTCGCTGGAAGACAACAGTTTGACGACCCTGAGGCGTGCCAAAACATTGTTCTCGGGATTTCAACGCCACGTATCAACCTGACTGCTGCGTCTTGACAATCCAGAATGGGGCCATAATGTCATTTTGGTGACTTCAACACAGCGAATCAACATAATTGTTAAGCCCGCATAATCCTCAATCCTCTCAAACCGCAGATTCTGGTACGTTGACCATGGGAAGCCGTGAACCTCTTGCAACCGTTGAAAACAAATGTGCGGGGCGCTAAAACGAGAACCACATTGTGAAAAGGAGCCGCCCTCAACCCGTGAACATCTTGCATTTTGTTCAAACGAATGTGCGCGGCGATGAGGCGAGAACCAAGATTTGAAAAGGAACCGCCCTCAATCCGTGAAACGCTTGCCTTGTTTCAGACGAAAGCGCGCGGCGCTAAGGCGAAAGCCAGAGTTTTGAACAATAACCGCCCTTAACCCGTAAAGATCTTACAAATGTTGAAAAAAGAATTTGCGCGGCGCGAAAGCGAGAACAAGAAAGTGAAAACCACCCGCCCCAAATCCGTGAAACTTTGAATGCGCGCGGCGCTAAGGCGAGAACCACATTTTGAACACCACCCGCCCTCAACCCGTGAAACTGTTGCAAGTGTTTAAAACTAATTCGCGCGGCGCTGAGGCGAGAGCCACATGTTGAAAACCACCCGCCCTCCATCTGTGAGGTTGCTATCAATCCTTAAGCTTCCGAATCATAACTGGTGAGGAAATCTGATGCGCAACGGCCGGCCCGCCCTAAAAACTGGCCTCGGGGCGCAAAGGGAGGAGTTATCTATAAGGAGGAGGAGGAGGACGAGGACGACTTGAAACGAAATGGCTTAAAGGGCGCCTTAACCCCGTACCAGTCGACGTGAGGGTACATGTGGGTCTGTGTGCCCACTGTCACCTTCGCAAGCACAAAGTTGCCCTCGTTGCGAGGGGGTAGGTTCGGAGGAGGAGGCGGAAAAGGAGGAGGAGGGGGAGGAGGAGATGGAGGAGGACAAGGAGGAGGTGGAGGATGTGGAGGATGAGGAGGGGAAAGAGGAGGAGGAGGAGGAGGAGGAGGGAGAGGGAGAGGAGGAGGAGGAGGGGAAGGAGGAGAAGGAGGAGGACCAGTGGAAACCCAAGAATCACCAAAGATGTTGGAATTAACCTTCCCTCCAAGTTCCCTCTTCGTAGGCCCCTACAACGGTTCATGCCCATTGAGGGAACTGCCTCGTTGGAAGACAACAGATTGACGATCCTGAAGCGTGCCAAACAATGGTTCTCGGGATTTCAACGCCACGTATCAACCTGACGTCTGCGTCTTGACGACCCAGAATTGTGCCATAACGTCATTCCTGGTGGGCTTCAACACAACGATCACCATAACTGTTAAGCCCGCGTAATCCTGAGTCCTCCCAACCGCCATTTCTGGTACGTTGACCATGGGAAGCCGCGAAGCTCTTGCAAATTTAAAAACGAATGTGCGCGGCGCTAAAACGAAAACCACGTTTTGAAAAGGAGCCGCCAGCAACCCGTGAAGATCTTGTAATTGTTCAAAACGAGTGTGCGCGGCGCGAACGCGAAATCACACTTTGAAACCACCCGCCCTCAACCCCTGAAACTCCTGCAACCGTTTAAACCGAATGTATGCAGCGCTGAGGCGAGAGCAAGAGAGTTAAAAAAAAAAACCACCCGCCCCCAACCCGTGAAACTCTTACAAGCTTTGTTTAAAACGAATGTGCGCGGCGCTAAGGCGAAAGCCACATTTTGAAAACCACCTGCCCTCAACGCGCGAAACCCTTGTAAAAATTTAAAGCTAATTCGCGCGGCGCTAAGGCGAGAGCCACATGTTGAAAACCACCCGCCCCCCATCTGTGGAACTGCTGTCAATTCTTCAACTTCCGAATCATAAATGGTGACGAAATCTCAGGCGAAACGCCCGGCCCGCCCTAAAAACTGGCGTCGGGGTGCGACAAGGAGGAATTATCCATAAGGAAGAGAGGAGGAATTGAAATGATATGGCTTAAAGGGCGCCTTAACCCCGTACCAGTCGACGTGAGGGTACACGTGGGTTTGTGTGCCCATTGTCACCGTCGCATGCACAAATCCCACCAGCCCTTTGGGCGAGAACCACATTTTGAACACCACCCGCCCTCATCCCGTGAAACTGTTGCAAGTGTTTAAAACTAATTCGCGCGGCGCTGAGGCGAGAGCCACATGTTGAAAACCACCCGCCCTCCATCTGTGAGGTTGCTATCAATCCTTAAGCTTCCGAATGATAACTGGTGAGGAAATCTGAGGCGCAACGGCCGGCCCGCCCTAAAAACTGGCCTCGGGGTGCAACAGGGAGGAGTTATCTATAAGGAGGAGGAGGACGAGGACGAGGACGACTTGAAACGAAATGGCTTACAGGGCGCCTTAACCCCGTACCAGTCGACGTGACGGTACATGTGGGTTTGTGTGCCCATTGTCACCGTCGCATGCACAAATCCCACCAGCCCTTTGGGCGTGAGTGGTTTAGGTAGCCTTCTCTGTCCTCAACCCCCCAACCCCCCTTCTTCCCCTTCGGGGAGGGGTTTACCCCTCCCCCTCCCCCCTCCCCCTGGGTCTGGAGAGGGCGGGCCGCGGGTCGTTGGAGGGGTCTTTTTCGACTCCTGGGAGGGCTAAAAAACGACGACCCTCACGAGGATTCTGGCCCCGACGGGGGGGTTGAGAAAAAACCTTCCTCTTCTGTGAAGCCAAAAACATAAATTTTACGATGGTTTTGGCCCCATTTTGGCCTTCTGAGGGGGCCGCACTCCTCTTCCTCGTTCTCAAAATCATTGGTTTTACAAAGGTTTTGGGCTCATTTTGTCCTTCTCAGGGGGCAGCGCTTCTTTGCGCTTCTGAGGAGGTCGCAAGAGGCCCCAAGATGGCCCCAAGAGGCCCCCAGGAGCCTCCCAAGAGGCCTCCAAGAGGCTCCCAAGAGGCCCCCAAGAGGCCCCAATAGGCCCCCAAGAGGCCCCCAATAGGCCCCCAAGAGGCCCCCAGAGGCCCCAGGAGGCCCCCAAGAGGCCCCCAAGAGGCCCCCAAGAGGCCCCCAAGAGGCCCCAAGAGGCTCCAAGAGGCCCCCAAGAGGCCCCACGAGGAGCCCGAACGACTCACACCAGGACGAGGGGCCCGAACGACTCACACCACGAAGAGCCCGAACGACTCACACCACACGGAGGGGCCCGAACGACTCACACCAGGACGAGGCGCCCGAACGACTCACACCACGAGGAGCCCGAACGACTCACACCACGACGCGGGCCCCGAACGACTCACACCACGAGGAGCCCGAACGAGTCACACCAGGAGGAGGGGCCCGAACGACTCACACCAGGATGAGGGGCCCGAACAACTCACACCACGAGAAGCCCGAACGACTCACACCAGGACGAAGAGCCCGAACGACTCACACCACGAAGAGCCCGAACGACTCACACCAGGAAGAAGGGCCCGAACGACTCACACCGGGACGAGAAACCCCAAACGACTCAAATCACGAGGAGCGCTTTCTCTCCCTCCTCCTCCGCCTCGTCCTTCTCCCGCTCCCCCCACAAGGAGGATGTACAAGGAGGCGGGAGGAGGGAGGAACAGGGGAGATATGCGGGGCCAAGCGGACACACGCCTGAAAAACACGACTGTCGGCATGCTTCGCGAGAGTTGCTGCTGTGAGATGGGCTGGTGGGGATACGCGAAGCGTAAAGAATTTGCCCTCGCTGCGAGGGGGTAGGTTCGGAGGAAAAGAAGGAAAAGGAGGAGGGGGGAGGAGGAGATGGAGGAGGACAAGGAGGAGGTGGAGGACGGGGAGGATGAGGAGGGGAAGGAGGAGGAGGGGGAGGAGGACCAGAGGAAACCCAAGAATCACCAAAGATGTTGGAATTAACCTTCCCTCCAAGCCCCCTCTTCATAGGCCCTTACAACGGTTCATTTCCATTGAGGGAACTGCCTCGGTGGAAGACAACAATTTGACGATCCTGAAGCGTGCCAAAACATTGATCGCGGGATGTCAACGCCACGCATCAACATGACTTCTGCGTCTTGACGATCCAGAATGGTACCAGAACGTCATTGTTTAGGGGACTTCAACACTACGAATCAACATAACTGTTCCGCCCGAATAGTCCTGAATCCTCCCAAAACGCCATTTCTGGCACGTTGACAATGGGAAGCCGTGAAACTCTTACACATTTGAAAACGAATGGGCGCGGCGCTGAAACGAAAACCACGTTTTGAAAAGGAGCCGCCCTCAATCCGTGCAAATCTTGTAAATGTTTAAAACGAGTGTGCGCGGCGCTAAAACGAGAACCACATGTTGGAACCCACCCGCCCTCAACCCGTGAAACTCTTGCAACCGTTTAAACAGAATTTGCGCGGCGCTGAGGCGAGAACAAAAGAGTTTGAAAACCACCTGCCCTCAATCCGTGAAACTCTTGCAAGCTTTGTTTAAAACGAATGTGCGCGGCGCTAAGGCGAGAACTACATTTCGAAAACCACCCGCCCTCAACCCGTGAAACTCGTGTAAAAATATAAAGCTAATTCGCGCGGCGCTAAGGCGAGAGCCACGTTTTGAAAACCACCCGCCCCCCATCTGTGGAACTGCTGTCAATTCTTCAGCTTCCGAATCATATCGTGAGGAAATCTCAGGCGAAACGCCCGGCCCGCCCTAAAACTGGCCTCGGGGTGCGACGGGG